AAATACAGGTTCATTTTATCACCACGATGGTAACAATATGTAGGATCAATAATTGAACTGAGCTCAAGTAGCTCAATTTGGGTTCGATTNGTGTCTTGTTTTCATATTCTAGATCAACGAAGAAGGGCGGCTAACTTAACTACACTCAAGGACGTGTTCCAATGTGCTACTAATCTGCGAGCTGTGGGGGAATTTTCTTACCAACATTTTAATAATAACGTCCAATAAATTTGGAAATATTAGAAGAAGGTACACCAAATTAGATATTTATTTGTATCTAAGTACATTATTTGAATTTTACTGATTTTTTTGTGACATTTTTGCCCTCTATTAANTTGATGGGACTCTTCTGAAAAGCCCTATGATGAAGACACGTGTCCTCGGGGTTTTATAACAGTGTTGCTCGGATTTAAACACCATCGGCAAAAAGTGTCCTNACTTAATTGTAAAAAAGTATATAGAAAGAAATATTGGATAATTAAGTCCTTAATTTTGATATTTATTTGTATCTAAGTACATTATTTGAATTTTACTAATTTTTTTGTGACATTTTTGCCCTCTATTAATCTATGTGTATTTAATGCACCACTTTTCTTTGAAAATTGGTGCATTAAACATCTCCTAATTTTATAGGAGAACTTATATATATATATATATATATATATATANTGTTCCTCTTTATTCCAGGAAAACCTTTCATACGTACAGGATTGTTCTTCCTTTCCCAGGATCTTCCTTTGCCGTTCCAGGTTGCCACCGCATCTTGCAGGCTGTTTCAAACAGCGTGTTTGGCCACTCAACCGGCTCACTCAAAGTTCACCAGGGGAGAGACCGGTTCTCGATATTTTTTATATTGTGCAGGATCTTGCACGCACAATCTGGCGCCGTCTGTGGGNTCTTATCTAAATTTTGAATTATTTTTTAATGCACCTTGATTTATGCATTTTATTTTTTAGAAAGTGATTTTATTTTCAAATTAATTTAATATCCGAATAGTGTAATAGTGTAACAATAAAAGTATAACAGTGTAACAATAACAATATAACAATAAAAGTGTAACAGTATAACAATAACAATATAACAAGCTATTTACACAAAATATTATACTATTCCATTTTATCAAATATATAGTTTCATATAATTTAATTCAAAATAATCCATCTCCATTTTGAATTTGTTGTCATATACACAAAACTACTGAATATTATTTTTATTACAGTGTATTTGTTACACTCTCTTTGTTACATTGTTATTGTTATACTATTACATTATTCGAATTTTAAATTAATTTAAAAATAAAATCATTTTTCCAAAAAAAAAAACGCTTGAATCAATGTGCATTAAATATAATTTGAAAACAAAATCACTTTCCAAAAAAAAATACGCATGAATTAAAATGTATTAAAGATAATTCAAAATTTAGATAAAAGATTTAACAAGTATATATATATATATATACACACACTTATTTATACGTATATGTATATATATACTTGTTTAAGTATATGTATGTATATACTTATTTATACGTATATGTGTGTATATATATATACATATTTATATGTATTAAAAAATACACATAAATCAAGATGCATTAAATACGTATTTATATGTATTAACAAACACACATGAATCAAAGTACATTAAAGATAAGAGATTTTGAATTAAATGATCCTAAAATGGGCATTTAAGTCTTTGTAATTCACATTTTGTTCTATATTTTTTTTGCCAAATAAATATAATTGGGTATACCAACTTCCAAAGAACCCAATAAATTTTGACACAACAAGACCCATTAACAATTCTTAAACGAGCTATGCCATTCTAGTCACCGACTTTATATTAAGGGAGTTGAGATGTGCTTACCAAATCTTTTATTAAATATTATTTACGAAATGAATGTTAGTGGTTGGATTAATAAATCTCATTAAAAAAAAAGTTAATAAAACTTACCGATTTAAGCAAAAATTTTGGTAAGGATAGCGATGCTCATTTTGAGGAGGTGAGTGCAAGGTTTCTTCTTTTTTTTGGATCCATTATTGGTAAGAGTGTCAAATTTTGTCGATTAGTGTCATCTACGTATTGTTATTTTTGAATTGTATCTTTGTAATTAGTGTTGTATTTATGTTAATACCCACAAAAAAAATTATTTAATGTGTCGTAAATGTCAAATATTAATTCAACCTATTAAAACCTAACATGGACCTACTTCACCCAACACTAAGGGTATTCAAATTTCCGACCATATCCTATCTTACCCAAATCTATAGATTAGCTACCCAAAAATTCGAGTAAGCCGACGAAAGATTTTTTGGTATTTCAAAAAAAATCAAATAAAAATGTAAAATACTTCCAAAATTTCCATATTTCTCACCTACCCTACCGGCATAAATACAAAAATTTTAAAACTTTAATATTTTATTGATATTTATGACTTTCTGATATATTAATTTTTATGACTTTCTTATTGTATTTTATTATAATTATTTATGTATTATTGAATTTATTATGTTTTNAAGTTAATAAAACTTACCGATTTAAGCAAAAATTTTGGTAAGGATAGCGATGCTCATTTTGAGGAGGTGAGTGCAAGGTTTCTTCTTTTTTTTGGATCCATTATTGGTAAGAGTGTCAAATTTTGTCGATTAGTGTCATCTACGTATTGTTATTTTTGAATTGTATCTTTGTAATTAGTGTTGTATTTATGTTAATACCCACAAAAAAAATTATTTAATGTGTCGTAAATGTCAAATATTAATTCAACCTATTAAAACCTAACATGGACCTACTTCACCCAACACTAAGGGTATTCAAATTTCCGACCATATCCTATCAAATTCGAGTAAGCCGACGAAAGATTTTTTGGTATTTCAAAAAAAATCAAATAAAAATGTAAAATACTTACAAAATTTCCATATTTCTCACCTACCCTACCAGCATAAATACAAAAATTTTAAAACTTTAATATTTTATTGATATTTATGACTTTCTGATATATTAATTTTTATGGCTTTCTTATTGTATTTTATTATAATTATTTATGTATTATTGAATTTATTATGTTTTTTTTAGTGTTATTATTTTATTGTACTAATTAATTAGTGCAGATTACTTAATTAAATTGTTAAAATAATTTAAAAATTAATAACTAAAACATGTATTCACCCGATTTCTACCAAATTTCCTACCCGATTGGTCTGAACAAAATTCGGATAAGAATAACACACTTATTCGGGGTAGGATAGATTAAAAAAAAATTATTCCGTAATATATCATGTAAGAAGATAGAANAGTTAATAAAACTTACCGATTTAAGCAAAAATTTTGGTAAGGATAGCAATGCTCATTTTGAGGAGGTGAGTGCAAGGTTTCTTCTTTTTTTTGGATCCATTATTGGTAAGAGTGTCAAATTTTGTCGATTAGTGTCATCTACGTATTGTTATTTTTGAATTGTATCTTTGTAATTAGTGTTGTATTTATGTTAATACCCACAAAAAAAATTATTTAATGTGTCGTAAATGTCAAATATTAATTCAACCTATTAAAACCTAACATGGACCTACTTCACCCAACACTAAGGGTATTCAAATTTCCGACCATATCCTATCTTACCCAAATCTATAGATTAGCTACCCAAAAATTCGAGTAAGCCGACGAAAGATTTTTTGGTATTTCAAAAAAAATCAAATAAAAATGTAAAATACTTACAAAATTTCCATATTTCTCACCTACCCTACCAGCATAAATACAAAAATTTTAAAACTTTAATATTTTATTGATATTTATGACTTTCTGATATATTAATTTTTATGGCTTTCTTATTGTATTTTATTATAATTATTTATGTATTATTGAATTTATTATGTTTTTTTTAGTGTTATTATTTTATTGTACTAATTAATTAGTGCAGATTACTTAATTAAATTGTTAAAATAATTTAAAAATTAATAACTAAAACATGTATTCACCCGATTTCTACCAAACTTCCTACCCGATTGGTCTGAACAAAATTCGGATAAGAATAACACACTTATTCGGGGTAGGATAGATTAAAAAAAAATTATTCCGTAATATATCATGTAAGAAGATAGAATAATCATAATTCTTATCCGACCCAACACAATTGACATACCTGTTAGAATTAAGACAATAAGCCCACACCTGATCCAAACCTTGATCAGACACGGTATAACTCAATAAAATACAATTGTAAATCAATTATTAACCAATCGGAATCAATTGTCCAATCTCATCTCATCTCATTACCTCTCCCCTAACCAAGCATGTGCTTAACCCAGTGCTAACGGGTAGCATTCCAATGAACAAGGTTGCTTCACCTACTCCTATACTAAGTACACATGAACGAATATACTCAAAGGTCCAACAGACTGCACCACCATGACTCAAATCACCAAAGACAACATTTAGGAGGCATCTTCATGTTTTCTCGAGCAAAATCTCAAACGCCAGTTTTGCTTAGAACCCAACCTACGGACTCTCCGATCTCGCCCATACAACCAACTCCCACGAACAACCACGTTATAAGTGAGGTTTAACTAAATTTTTTGCACCAAATCAATGTGGATTGTTATCCAATTAACAAGATTGCACCACAACATTTGGTGCACACAGTTTTGCAGATAAGAGACTACAGAATAAGAGGAATCAATGACAAAGTTAAGCATATGGGATTTAAAAAAAAATGGGGTAAGCTACAGAGTAGCTCGTCAAATTGAAATAATCGGGGCAAAAATACAAATAAATGGAAGCAAATGCTTTTGTCAAATTTTTTTCCCTTCAATAATCAAAACCGTGTACTCAAAAACAGCTTCTACAAGGACACTGAATGTGACTTGCGTTTAATCCCCCAAAACTATTCTTAAAACAGTATTATATTAAAAATTATAATCACTCTTTTCCCTACCACTGTATAGGATCGCCTTCGAAAATTCCTCTTTCCCTCAAGTCATCCTATAAAAAGACCTCTAAAACTATAAACTAAAAAAAAAAAAAAGGGGGGAGGGGCAGAACAAAAGATGCTCACTTCTTACTGTCAAAATGTGCCGTTTGAGATATTACAAGCTGAATATGTTCAGCTGCTATTTGGTGCTTCCGAAGTGTCCTGTGTGATATACATTTCACAATGCTGCATGTACAATGAACAGGAGGACAAATAGAAATGATAAAAAGAACTAAGGGTTTTACCTGAACTTCATGAAGGAGTTCTTCAAGTTCAACTCCTATCTCAGAGAAGGAAGGGCGGTTGCCAGGTATAGCTTCCCAGCATCTCTGCATCAATTTTAACAGCTTGGGATGCGAATCCTGGGGAAGATCTGGTCGAAGTCCCTGGAGAGAGAATGAAAAGAAAATGAAGGGGGGTGCACGTCCACTAGAAAACTTAATGAATCAGCTCATATACACTATATTTTTCCCGTAAGCATAAACTTGCAAGCATTGTAGTTCCCAAGTGTTGTTTTCGATTTTTTCCCCCTCACCATATTTCTGGAAAGTTCTTAAAGATTTCCCTTTTTCTTTCTGTGGGTCTCTCATTTCTATTTGTTTCCCCTTCAGTTTGTCGTCCCATTCCAGTTGAGCAAAAAATCAAGTTCTTGCTAGCAACAGTGGTCTTTCAGTTTTGAGGTACTCAACTCCATAGATTTGAATGTGCATGAAACGTTAATCACCCCCAACCCCCCAAAAAGTAAAACCCAACTAAAAATAAATGATAAAATGAACAATGGGGAAGAAGTGGAAAAGGGAACAATGGAGGAAACAACGAGTCATATTTTGGAATGAAGAAAAGTACATCACTGCAAAACAATTAAAGCTGGAGGTTTCAACTCAGTGGCTAAGATATATATTTCACAAATCAAATATCTCCAAAAATAGGCATCATGTTAAGCATCTTGACCTTCATCCCAACGAGTCCAAAACAAAAAAGAAAAAATAACTTGCTGACCAGCGGTGTGGTAGCTGGCACCATATCCAAATCACTTATGTACTCCAGATATGTGCTATATGAACACGAATTTGAGAAGTAAAAGAGAGATCATGCATCAAACATATAACATAATCACTAAAACTATAGGAGACTCATATTTTGATTGGGATCAGGTACTCACATTGGCTGATGTTTGTGGATAAGATAGACTGATGTCATTATGGCTTACATTTCTAACTTGTTACTATGCATCTCCCTCTCTCTCTCTCTCTCTCTCCCCCCATCCCTAGGAGCATGCATTACTTCCAACAGTTCAAAAAATAAGGAGCTTCAGCATCNCTCCCTCCATCCCTAGGAGCATGCATTACTTCCAACAGTTCAAAAAATAAGGAGCTTCAGCATCTTCAGTTTTGTCTTCTCAAGTCTCACCCCGCCCTTAAAGAGAGCATGAAATACCTAGTTTGGAAGCAACTTGTTGCCACCATGCTTGATTTTTAAGGCTGAAATGTATAACATAACATATAGCACTACCATGTAACAGAAACAACTTATGGGGCTTAAAAAAGGTTTCCTATCGGTTAAAAGCTGTTATTTGCAAAAATACTGTCTCAACTAAAGTCCAAAATTATCACACCAAACGCAATCAAGTGACGGATATGAAAAGTTAGTTTACACATAAAACAAAAACACCACAGCAGACATAATCAATGGATAATTTCCTAGTTTAATGTATCAACCAAGTTAGTTATGTATACTGTGAAGTTACAAAACACTTGCACATTGGAGAGCTATCAAACTTTTTCATCGCATATACTCTTATAAAAGTCTCAAACAATTGTACGCAAATCCTTTAGGAATTTCATAAAGACGCAAATACTAGGGCATGAAAATGCTTCAATTGAAATGGCATCATGGAAACATAACAATTGCAAATAACTAAATTGCATATAAAAGGGCATTGTTAGGCATGTACAATAAGTAAATTACTCAAATCTCGCAATATGAGAAAATAGAAAAACAGAAAATGACGATATACTTTTTCATGATATAATTTGACATATAGGCACACAAACCTGTCTCACTCCAAGGGCAGCTTGTAAAGGCGTCATGGAATCATATGGAACCTGCAGCCTCAACAAGAAGACCAGGTAAAGATCTTATCCCACAGATAACAATCACCTTCTTAAATATAAAACACTCTAGAAAACTTCTGAGGCTTGGTAGAACTCTAAGAAATACCTTGGCTGTCACAAGCTCCCACAACACGATACCAAAACTAAATATATCTGCTTTCTGATCATATGGCTGATGATTTATAACCTGAGGAAAAGGACAAAAGCAAACAGAAAAAAAGTGAGAAGTGAACATCAAGTGAGTTAGGTGTATGATAGAGCCATGGAGAGTAGTAAATTACTTGGAACCCATAAAACCTAAGAATTGGGCTTCATCAGTTTTAGCAGAAAATGAAATCCGTAAATGGGACAAAAAATATTGTTTAATAAAAAGATACTTTGTATATGCAGAGCCAGGTTAATAGAACATCCACCTAACAATACAAGAAGCACAATGCTCAAGGGCGGATTCTCCTGATGGTTGGATGTCAAGAAAGAAACAGGTCAATGAGGTCATCAAGTATAACTATGAGTGTGTTGTATTATCCACCTATTATGAAGCTTTTAGTGTATCACGTGACATGAAAGGACAACATTCCAATCCCAAGCTAATATATACAATGCCAAATTAAAAGTGTGTGGGAGGATTAACCAAGGCAGCACTTGGCAGACAATTCATAGATATGTTGGCTGTCAGTATTCACTATAAAACCCAAAACTCTGGAGAAGGGCACAGGCAAAAGAAGCAGAAAAAATTTGGAAAATGAAAGAGGTTCAGACCTCAGGGGCCATCCATCTGTATGTCCCAGTCTCTGCTGTCATCACACCACCTTGATTTTGGAACCGGGCAACACCAAAATCTGCCACCTTAACAACCTTGAGACAAATTACAAACATAATTTATATAAATGCAGTTGTGGAGACTAGGGCTATAGTTCTTATAAGGGAAATATAAATATTAATAAATTATAAAATAACCCAAATAACTAGATAGAAACATGATACAACAAATGGAAATGGAAAAGAAGAAAAAGCTTTAGCATGATTAAAATTTTATTTTTGACTTACAATTCTTACGTCAAATATCTTTGGAAAGTCTTTAGCATAATTTTTTTCACATTTTACACTCATCTTGCACTTGAACTCTTTACAAAGAGAAAAGAAAACAGAATAAAAAGATTGTTTGAATGCTAAGATTGAAACGTTGCTCGAATTACAAGGAGTGTAATGAAAGTACAGTGAAAACAAGAAAGAATATTTTTGCATATCCTCCAGAACTCGGTGTCGGGACAATTCAGTGCTTCAAAAAACTTTTTGGAGGAGAGTTTTAAGTGCTCCGAACACAGACAAAATTCTACGCTCAAAAACTTCGACATACTCACAGCAGTAGATTCTGGCAGTTCATTGATGCTAACTAATGGCAAGTTTAAACCAATAACAAAAGAAATCCTATCCATCAGTTTTCCTCAACCCCCGTTATCGTATATAAAAAATAGTGACTCCTAAACAATACCACAAATAAAAACTGAGAACCTCTCCAATTCTTTGCTACTGAACTCAGTCCTATAGATGCTTACCCATGTACAAATAAACTACAACTGCTGACAGCAGCAGCAAGAATATTTCTCAGACTACAGAAACATTGAGAAGCAGTCCTACATAAAGTTTGCTTTTTCGATCCGATTTAAAAATCATATCCATTTGAATGATGAACTGAAGAAAGGCGAGAAACAGGTAAAAGCAGTATATATAGGAACTCCCAGCTAGATCTAGCCAAAGGTGAAATAAAGAAGTAACCAGTCCATCCAATAATACAACCACCTGAGGGAGGTAAATCAATTGCATTGAACATCACCTGTTAAGCACTTACATTGTTTCTAATTGAATGATCACTTAAAAAACGACTCATGACCATGCCAACTACCATTATGGGCAACTAAATATAGTCCTCCAGTCTTCCATTTGCACTGAAGTCAAGTATCACAATTCTGATACTCACCGACTTCAAAACTACTCAAAGCCATGATGTACTCTGAGAGTTATAAGAGTACTCCTAATGTCACATCAATAAAATACAGCTATCCAAAACTGGCTCACAGTTTATCTTCCATCATATTTTACAACTACCTCACATGAATAGATACCATACTATTAGTATTTATTATGAACTTGAAGCAAGATTGATATACTCAAAATCTGAATTTGGAAAATCCGTCACTTCCCTCACAGATACTTACATTGTGAGTATCCATAAGCAAATTTGCGGTCTTCAGATCCCTATGAATTATTTTGTTTTGATGCAAGTAGTCCATTCCTTTGCAGACATCTATTGCAAACTTCAACAATTGTGGTAGCTCCAAGACAATATGATTCTTATGCAAATAATCATACAGGCTTCCTCCAGGCATGTACTCTGCAAGCAGCAGGAATACCATGTCATCAATTTGAGGGAAGGAGTTGATCAAAGCAAAGACAGAGACTGAAGCACTATTTAAACAATTTTCAGCAGTTGAAACTATAGGACCCTGTGAAAACAATAACCTGTCTAAAATCCAAATAGAAAGACACCTGTTACCTAGGCTACTGTGCAGACAAATGTGCATAAACATAGACAATAAGATGGCAATGAACACATGCATCAGAGCAAGTCCAGTATGTTTGCATGACAGCATGAGCAGGGATTTTAGCAGGCATATCATGCTTATGCATGATGAATTACAAACACAAAAGCATACCCTTAAGAAGCTAAACTTTTAGAGCACAAGTTCAGTGCTTATGGGCATGGCATACCATCAATTAGCTTGCAGAAAGAATTGTACCTGTAACTATGCACAAATGAGGCGATTTCGTACATGCACCAATAAAGCGAACAACATTTCTATGTTGAACCTCCCTGCATACAAATAAACATAATTGAATCTTAAATGATTCAAAATGAACTTGACCATCACAAATAATCTCAAGACAGTACATTCAATCAAATAATCAATTCAAAGCTCTAAGGACACCGAATAAAACTGGTACAGAATTGTTCAGAATTTTGCAATCTGAAGTGATCATAGAGCTCAAGAAACTGAGGCATCAAACAAGATACTTTTGGCTCTTAAAATCTTCACTACTCACCAAAAGAAAACATGCACTAATGCTAGACAAAAAGCTTCATTACCAGTTGAAATATATTTTATGGTTGTTAACCTAGGAAAAACCACCGTCTTGCTTACAAGCACATACATGCAAACTAGATGATCCCTCTCCATAGAGTAAAAGCAAAATTACAGTGCCAATAGTGTGTCTCATCCTCCTTTTATCAATGCTAGCCATAACTTTTAGCTATGTAACCTTAAAAAATAGCAAGAACATAGACATAACAGACCTTACACCGCAAAGCCTTCATCATAACCCCTTGCTGCAGTTTCAAGCCTATTTAGCAATACCGTTTAGCCTTTCTGCGGCACATAATGCTACATTTTTGTTATTAGCATAACATATGATTGACTTCCACAATCTTAGACCATTCAGATAGAGGTGAAAAACCGTAGACATCTCCACTGAACCCAACAAAGCATTAACCAACTTTTGTCTTAGGGCACACATATATCACAATTAGCATCACAGCAGTCTACCAAATCCTGGTGACCATAAATACAATTGATCAGTCACTGAAACTGGGGGCAGGGGGTGTGCCATGGTTTTGTTGGGTTAAATACGAACAAGTCCTCAATATTTGGAGAGTCGACCAAAACTTTTCATCATTTCCATGGAAGTGTTCAATTCAAAATGTATGTCGCTACATCAGAAATCAAAATGAGAACTTTCAGTGAGTAGCATAGCATCCTGCTTCACTGTTTTGTACGTACAAACAACAGTCAGGATCACCTAATAATGATCCCAACCAACTTCCAATAATGAGAAAAAAAATTACACAACTTTGGAGTTAAAATCAAATCCTTTCCAGGGACTCAGACGTAGGCATCGATTTTCAAAAAAGAGTGACATCAGTAAAGCCCTAGTTAAGTAAAAAGAACATAAAAACAGTGTAAAGAGGAAACACATTCGAATTTCATTTTCACTAAAAAAATATCAGTTTAACATGTTACATAATAGCGTGAAAACAAGAAATTTAAAGTTCGTAAGTCAACTTCCAGACTTTGGCAAGCGAAGCCAAAGATACACTATTTTGGCTCAAATAATCTGATAACAGAACTTTCGGATATGGGAATAAAATCGTATAATCAGCACACTCAAACAAATATTTTCTTTGAACAGTCACTTAAGCAAATATTTTACACCTGATTTATACTTATATAGACTAGAATTCTAATGTTAGCTTGTAGTTCTTAGAAAACCAATCTATCCAAACGTTAATGTTTCTTATTCCTNGCAAGCGAAGCCAAAGATACACTATTTTGGCTCAAATAATCTGATAACAGCACTTTCGGATATGGGAATAAAATCGTATAATCAGCACACTCAAAAAAATATTTTCTTTGAACAGTCACTTAAGCAAATATTTTACACCTGATTTATACTTATATAGACTAGAATTCTAATATTAGCTTGTAGTTCTTAGAAAACCAATCTATCCAAACGTTAATGTTTCTTATTCCTCTTACTTTACATGTCGAAGCTGGATACTGTCAATAACAACTAGTAGACTACACTAAAAATTCCCAGTAATAGCAGCAAGACTATTTACCTTAGGATGGCCACTTCCTGAGAAAACTCGTCCTCCAAAGTGTCATTCAAATGCTCCGACCTAAGAATCTTTACAGCAACATCCTGACCCAGATACACTCCACGATACCTTTTTCATGAACACCAAAAAAAATGTGAGCAAGAGAAAGATGCAAGCAAGGAAAAATTGACACACAGTACTTCGGTGATTGTGTTAGAATTCCCAACTTACAAATCTCCACAAGATCCTGATGCAATTCTTTCCTCTATCTTCAATAATCTTCTGTCTATTTCCCAGTCTTCGGGTTTTGCCTGTGCCGCCAATGCTTTCTCCACTGCTGAATGAGAAGGTAAAGAACCCGACCAGGACCCCTATATAGTTTAAAGCAGGGCACTAACTTAATATTAATGGATCTTCATCATTTACTTTTAGTCTTGAACAACATACTTAAAATCACTGAATTATGACAATCACAATAGATAGAGGTGAAACACTGCATCTTGCTATGACTGCAAAAAGGACAAATATTTACGCTGCAGACATAAACAAGAATTAATACAGTAAACCAGACAACCAAGCTCCGTCAACAACTTTGTGCAGCCCAAGCTGACTACCAATATGTTGTCCTAGATGCATCAACCATACATGCACATGCTCACGCACAAACATATACATAAATGTATATTGTAGTCGCATTCAAAGTATTACTACAACGCTAGAAAGGTCATGAAAACAAAGCAAGTAACAGTAAAAATAGAATTACTAAAACCAAAATAAATAAACTGCTGACAAACAGTTTAGCAATAGAAGGATAAAGATGTTGATATAAGCACAGGCTGAATAGTTTGAGAGTAGTTTCGGAAGGTAAAAAGGTGATTCAATACATTTTCAAAAGTTCACACAGGTTGAAACCTTTTAGAATGGAGGTCAAATGGATATGATTCTAAAATCAGTAATCATCAATCCAACCACACTTCAATGCCTTGCATATACTTATGCTAATAATGCAAAACCTGGAAGGACCTAAAATAGATGAGAGTTCACAAGACCATTTGAATAAGTATTTGTAGCAATGGGCTTTCTAGCTAGATCTCATAGAAAATACAAGCTATGACAGTGCTGATTCAGATGTATTAGATTCTTATGACAGTGAGTCTACCTTTATTTTCCTCATACATGACCTCTTGTACAGTCCTCTTTCACGCATTCAAACTAAGTGATTTCATCTCGATTGAAATCCTGGCAATTATAACAAACCGACAGTGCCAAATCTATCCAAAGTAGAGGTTGTAATGTTCTTAAAATCAAAACATTATGAACAGATGTATCTTGTATTCTTGCAGACACATATATTTGATGAGAAAAAAAAAAAGATCTATAACTGTTTTTCTCCTTTATCTGACAAATATAAGTTTAAAAAAGGACAAAAAATAAAGGAAAATCGGGCTGTACCTGCAGTTTAGTTTGATTCATTTTATTGGTGAAGCCATCAAAGAAGATAACATTAATCAATGTCAAAATCTTGCGCAGCTTAAAATATGGAAGTTCCATGACCACTAACTAGACATTATTCTTATCAAACACTACAAGCCATTCTTCATTGAATGTAACTTGGAATATATATGTCCACGAGTATTCTAAGAAGGAAATCGAGTTGGAAATGAATTACCTCACTTCGAGCAATTGCTTTCTTCATAGCTTCATACAAACCCTCAGCATCCTGACCACAACATTGCAAAGTCAGCAACATTTGGACTCAGCACAGATCCCTGTCATAAACAATATAATCACACTGCTCCTTATTAAAAACCTCACTATCCTAGGACGAACAAATTTCACTACACCAAATTCTCAGATGAAATGTAATTGCAATAATAAAATCACTAGTTTTGAATCTCACCACCAACAAAATAAGCTTCTTCAACAAAGTCCAGGCAAAAATAATATCAACATGGAAGAGTACATGATTGAAAAAAAAAAAAAATTGCATTACACCACATTATACAAGGAGACATGAAAACCTCAACTCAACAAATCCACATGAATTTTATTTCGCCATTTGTGCTCAAGGAGCAATGAAAAGGTGGAAATGAGTATTTCTCTAAGAACCTCATTTAACATGGGGGCCGCAGGGTAAAAATCATTTTACCAAACAACCTGAAGATTGGAAAACATAACGTACCATGTAAGCTAGTTTTACTATGTGAATGGGAGAAAAATAAATACCTCGACAGGCCATCCATCCACCATAAATACATCCAAAGAATAGCCATCAGTTGTTGAAAACACGTGTGCTTCACGAATGTTAAGTCCTATGTCAGAAAGCAAAGCAGAAAGCTAGAAAAAAATGGCACACAATTAGAAGTTATAGTAAAATTTTGACACAAAGGAAAAACTAATTAGGTCTACCCATTGGATATTGATTTCAAATTGTCAACATCCGGAAACAAGCTAATCCTGACCAACTAGCTGCAAACGACTGAGAATGATATGAGGTTTCCATTTAAACTTAACAGCTGGCCCAGAGGATTTATTAAGTGTCCTTTTGAGAAACAATAATTTCAGAATAATCAAATCAGAGAAAAATTCAGGATAAAAGACTTATTGTCATTTAACAGACATGGAAACCAAGATACAAGTGGGAAACATAAACCTTATGTTGCAGTGAAACCACAAGATGCCAAATTAAGTGGCAATCATAATGGAGGAAATAAAAAGAGGACAAAAGTAACTAGATTGTGCCTTTAAGAAACCCCTCTATCTGTCTCAACAGACGGAGTTTTTTCTACGATAGGACCCTCAGATGCTCGTTTGGCAGAGACCATAGGATCAATCACCAATATTGCAAAGCTCAATCTGATGTTTGGAGCCTCTGATCGGTAATCCAACCCTAGAGAACACTTATATTACAGGAAAACTGGACTAGTATTATGGAATCAAATAGCACAATGGTTACACACTTTTAAATAACACTGGTGAAACATATTCAATCTGAAATGGTATTTCTTCCAGAAATCCTAGCCATTCTTAGAATGACATTGTAAGTACTCAATTTGAAAAATGAGATTCTATCACTCCCTGCATTTACCTGACTAAGGAGCTTGGGCTTGTCAATAGTGGAAAATATCACTTCATGAATTGGTATATGGGAAACTTCCTGCCTGAAATTATACCATGCAGTGGTCAACTTATTTTCTACACAGGTAAGATGAATGGCAAGATCTTATAGATTTGAGTACAGCTACAATAAGGAAATGATATCCATCGACTGCATGCTAACATGGACATAAGTGTGAATGTTGAAATATATAGACAGGAAATAAGTATTAAAATGATGTATCCTACTATCATGGTCAACAAAAGTGTGCAACTAGAAGCTCCAATGTTTTGAAACACTAGATAGCATCCATCAAAAGAGTGTGGGTTTTACACGGCCTAAACATGCTCATTTGGACAGGCTAATTTTTTTAGTCTTTCAGTACCAATCTGGGAAGTGAAAACCTTAGATATCAATGCATTGTATTGGAACAACGTAGCTACTTGCATGCAATATGCAAGCCCGTCAAATCGAACCATATCTGCAGGACAGCCATATGACTAGACTGCAATCAATCATATTGCTGCAGGCAGCCAAGTGAGAGATTATCTAAAACAGCCTCAAATTGGTTATCATCACGAATATACATCTATGTGGTGCATACCTTGGAGCCATGAACGACAGGGTTTAACTAACGATATGGTTTTAACAGTACTATACTTCTGAGGAAATACCATAAACAAGTAAAGATACGTATCAAAGTGACCGTAACAGGTGTATAGGTATGATGCCTTGAGACCCCTAAAAATCAATGATATCAAGCCTGGCATTAGAAGGTTTTCTTCTAGTAAATGGGTATTCTTGAACATATCCTGGTATATGAATGACTCCGTTTGTTTTCGACTGGAATATATAACTAATATAGCTGATATATGAACAAAAGTTACAGATGTTTCCTAGATCATGGCTCAATCATCTCCATACTATACACCATATACTTGTAAAACATAACAGGGAGGCCACTAATTCAGTGGTTAAAATTCGGCCCAATAACCTTGTGGCTGTAGGATCGAACCTAAGAGCAACCATTTCGTACAAATAACGTCAAAAGTTAAGTTTGCATCCAATCTATCTCCCTCCCAAAACCCCATTAATGGGGACTAAATAGGGTTTTTTTTTATATACTAGTAACAATACATGCATTGTTTTTAAGTTTTGCAAATCCAGTACAGAACTAAATTAACAATATATTCCCAATTTCTCCAACATTATTACTTTATACCCTTGGAAGCACTGATATTTTTGCCCTCAAGCATCACATATGAAGATCATCAAACTATCAACAACAGAACAGACTAAATCAAAGATAACATTTACAGCCATTAAAAGTTATGGTGCTGTCCTTTCATCTTTCTGAAGTTCATTAATAGAAATAAAGAGAAGATGATTATAGAAAAGACTGGCTTGCGGTCTGTGACCGGTGATTGGTTCGTATTCTTCTTTCTAATTGTATGTCCCATGTTTGACCTGTCTTTTTGCTTCTTTTTAAAGGATCTCTCATCCAAGAGATCCTTCTTGTAATGATTTCTGAATTTTTAATTTCAATACAAATCTGTTGTTTCCTGTTCCCGAGAGAGAGAGAGAGAGAGAAGATGATTCAAGATTTCCCCGAGAAAATACCTTCTGGGAAAATCTTCTGCAGGAATGTCCCTCTCCATTTCACCGGAATTCTTTCTAACATCCAAATTTAAGTCCTCAAGCTTAGTGCAAGGTTCAAAGTCAATCTCGTAATTCCTGCTTCTAATTACAGAAAATAAATAAGAAAGCATCAACACAAACTACTCTTATTGTCACATAGGGCAATTCAGTATAGAAAATCACTAAACCATTCATATACTGATTGAGTGAAATGAGGAACGACTGGTAAAACCTACATACCTAACATCATAATTGCTAAACTACCTGTCATGTGGTGGCACAACTCCTTCATTATCTTCAATGACACATGGCCTTGCGGTGGAAAGAAAACTTAGAGCTTGTTGGTCATCATAACCGTCTGCTCTAGCCCATAAATTCTACCCAATGATACAGGAGGACAAATAATGAACACATGAGAAAGAAAGCAGGAAATAAGATATAAATCACTACACCAAATGGTAATGAAAAACTTGTTAGTCCTTCTGTCGGTTATATGAATACTGTCTGTAAAAGCGCAATCATATCTACGTAATTTTGGTCTACCTCCACCCCATAACACAACAATATGGTCAAGTGAGAAGCAGTACCTCCAAAAAGCGGATATGGAAAACAGGTCGTTTTTCGGGATCCTTTGCCACAGCAAGAAGCTTTTGATGCAATATTACATCATCCACTCTATCCATATTAATATCCAATCCATAACTGAAACACAAAAAAATAAAAACAATTAATTTGCTCATTACACCATAACACAACAAGGATCATGAAATATTCACTCTGTTGATCAAAATTTCAAATCTATCCTCTACCCTGGAAACAGGTCGAAAAAAATAAAAACTCATCTCATCGTCTAAATTCAATCCTCTACATATATATAATATGCATAAAATATATATGAACATACGATTCCTTTACGATACTGATTCCGATATCTTCTAAAGCAACTTGATATGATGCCCTTATCCAAACAAAAAAAAAATGAAGAGTACATTATTTATATCCAACTCCAAATATGTATAACGCAATATGACATAAAATATTTCTATAATAGAAAAAGGAAGACTGGACGAAAATTTCAATATCAAATATAAGTCTTCTCAAATTGTTTTAAAATTTCTCGGAAAATCAAATTCTTTCAAAATTTCTGTACTCGTAATTCATATGAACACACAGAGCACACATCTGTCATACATAAACCTATACATGTATTCTATTGAATTAAAACCCAAACTTTGAATATATATTTGCCAAAAAATAGAAAATATATATATATATATGAAGACAGATGATGCAGAGCGTACCTCGCAGGCAAGCGATTGAAATGAGCATCCAACAGTTCACGGAACTCAGGACCAACTGCCTCTTCGTTCCCACTCTCTACCAAACGATTGTACACATCGTTCCTTATATCACAACTACTGCTACAAGTCCCAAAACTCCGAGGCGGTGACGAACTCTCTCCAACTCCTTCCACCAAATCCATCTATACCTCCTATACATACACTTCTCTGTATCTATCCATCTATATGTTTTTTTCTGTGTGTGTGAGTGTTTCTTCGAAACCAGTTCAAATCACTTCAATGGCTAACAAGCAGTATAAGTAGAGAGAGAAAGGGATCGGAGATAGGCGGAGGGACGGTCAGAGAGGGGACAGGATCTTTGACAGTTGATAGAATCTAAGGAGAGGTGGGAGAGTTCGGTAGTTCTGGTGAAAAGCTGAGGGCAATTTCGTCCGCCATTACTGTAGCAAACGGAGGTTTTTTCTCTTCCTACAAACTGTAGTTTTTAGAGAGAATGTCAGGTCTTGGAGGGGAGGGGGAGGGGGAGGGGGAGGGGTTG